AAAAATCAAGGAATAGATCTCTATGAGAGAATTGAAGAAGATTAATGAGAATGTTATAAGCAAAGTTACCAGTTTTTGTTTCTGTACTGCTTACAGAGAAGAGGAATTGAAATCTATTTTTTCATCAATTCTGTAGTTCAGTTTTCTACACTACAGTGGCATGATATTCTTGAGTTGCCACATAACTGTTAAGAATATACAAATACTAAGTCATAATCATTGTCGACATTTTTAGTTGCTGTAGAGTTGATTCTGACTCATGGTAATCCCGTATGTACAGAATGGAACTGCTCCATAGGATTTTCAGGGCTGGGACCTTTTGGAAGCAGATTATCAGGCCTGTCTTCTGAGGTACCTCTGGGTAGGTTTGAACTGCCAACCTTTTCATTAACAGTCTAGTGCTTAACCATGTGCACCACCCAAGGGCTCTTTAAGAAGCATATGTAAATTTCTAATGAGCATATGTAAATTTCCCATTATTCCAGTAAATCATGTCCTTTTCTCTTTGTCTCTATTAAAATTTATATAACTTTATAAAAAGAAAATAATCAATTTTGCCAGTAGATGTGGCTAAAACAAATAAATAAAAACTTCTGGTTAATTTCTACACTATATAAACTGAGTTCTTTTCTCTTGCTTTTTAAGAGGGGGTTGTCATCTATTCAAACTCTTACACAGCCTTTCATTTACAGACTACTCTCTTAACAACTCTTTCTTTTTTAACAAAGCAGTATTGTTCGAATGAAGTCACTCAAATCTGAAACAACCTCAAGCAATGCTAGTTTGAAATGCTTAATGAAGTCAGCTGATGGAATCGGCTATTTTAAGAAACCAAAAAAATAAAAAATTAATAGAAACTTTGTCATTACCTCTGGGGTTGTAACTTTGTAATTGTTGCCATTAGATATCATTGTAAACAAGGCTTATAAAGCTCCTCTTAAAAGTAGTACAGAAAATGGTTACATTGTGACGATCCCAAATACACACTTACAAGGTTGTTGCGTTAGCTGCTCTGGTGCTCCCGCAGACGCAGACGCACATCAACTTCAGCTACAAGGGAACAAAACGCTGCCCAGTCCAGCACCATCCCCATGGTCAGTTACAGAATGGGCCCTAAGGTTTCCATTGGCTAATTTTCAGAAGTAGATCATTAGGCCCCTCTTCCTAGTCCATCTTACGCTGGAAGCTCCACTGAAACCTGTTCAGCATCATAGCAGCAATAAGCCTCCACTGACAAGCGGGTGGCAGCTGTGCTGAAGATGCAACAGCTGGGGATCGAACCCAGGTCTCCCACATGGAAGGTGAATATTCTACCACTGAACCACCACTGCCCTCATACACGTATAGGGAGAGGGCAAAAAATAAAATAAAAGTTGG